AAATCTTATTAAGGTTTTCTATGCACGTTTAAATAACAGTTATTATAATATTCATATTATATATATTCTTTTATTAAGTATGCACATTTTTTATCCATTATTAAAGCCACTAATTTTAAAATAGTTTAATAATGGCAAATGAGACATTAAATGTCTCACATTAAAGAAACAATAAACACTTAATTTCATATATTTTCTACAGAATATTTGAAAACCGAAAATGTGCATTATTCACAGGAATAAAGAGAAATAACAGAGGAGACTGCACATTTTCAAAAATGACACATTGACCAAATGAGCACAGTCAATGCATAGTATCTTAAAACGGCTAAATTAAGGGATTATATTTATCTATGCATTATTTTGACCCATTTTTATTGTATTCAAAAAAAGCAATCACATTCATACTTCTTTTAGCCTTTCGAGGTCCTGTTTGACCTTCCTGTAGAGGTCATTGGCAGCTCTCAGCTTATTGGCCGATTCCTCCAGAGCGCTCGAGTCGACAGTACTGCTTTCACTCTGAGGAACCAAGACCGTGCTCGGTTCCACAGCCGTCTTGAGTTGCATCTCAAGGCTCAGGTTTTTGCTTTTCAAGTCCTCGTTCTCTTTCAAAATGGTTTCGATTTCATCCTGTAAAACAAGATGATTCATAAGCTCAGTGAATGAATCTTCCTGGCTTTCATTGCATAGCTAGGACGATTTCTTACTGGCACATTGTGTTAAAACAAGTGTTAAGTCAAATTTGGGGTCCCGTGCCTTAGTATGTACTTAGTAGTCTGTCAGTTATGATGAGGCCCAGATAGAATGGACCAGATTTTGTTTAAAATGTAAATGGAGGGAAGTCTGCAGAATTTTGCGGTATGGATTCAAACATGGCAAAATGGGGATTTCACTCTAAATTATACAGGAAATGTCAAAATTGTGTTCATCAAAGCATTTCATTGGGTGTTTGAATAGAACAGGGGTAAGCAAGTTCGGTCCTAGAGAGCCGCAGTCCTGCAGAG